GAGATCGTCTTGATCGATTTTTTCGATTCTGCTCAAAAAATTCTCACACCGACACTACACTTCCGTCGATCACGAGCGCCCGTGACGGAATGCTGGAACACTCGTGCTCGATCTTTCTCCTGTGGTTCGTTACCCCCACTACAAAGACCCTTATACTTCTTTTTAAATCCCACGATACTACTACGATAATCTATCGTCAATTTGTTTAACCATCACTCGAAGATGTACGAACATGTTTCTGATACTCCAGACAAGATAAGACTGTTTGATTCAGGCGTGACGAATCGAGCCGGTAATCGTTTTTGTTTCGTTAAATGTCTCGATAATCGAAGCGACCTATCGATGCGGGTGGTGAAACATTCGCTAATTATTTAAATCAGTTTTACACTGAGAATTACTAAACCATCTAAACGTAGATATTACTAAACGAATATTTTTTAAAGTTTGAAGGTTTTTATATATAAAATAGGTATTTTCGTTTATTTATATAAAGAAATAAAGAAAAATCTAATAGCGTTATTCGTGTAGAAAGCAAGTTATTAATTACTTAATTGCGATTGAATCGGTCGATTTGTTTAAGGAAAAGGACAAAAACTAGACATTCGAAAAAAGAATTTCTAGTGTATCCTCGTACCTGTCCACACGTCCGACACGCATGTGGGTGGATAGATACGTTCATCAGGGCTGTCGTCGATCAGTTCCACTCGACCTGTTCCTAGACCAGGCAGCCCGCGCGTTGTCGGATTCATTACGTCATCGGCCATCGATCAGCCAATCCGAAAGCGTCTTTCTATTGGTCATGTGACTATTCACCCCCACACCCTTATAAAATACTCCCACTACTCCTCGGCACGCAGCACACGCGCGTGCGGGTAGCACGGGTCCGCATGTCCACAGGCGCCCGACGCAATTACTATGGACAAAATGGCGTCCTGATGACCATTGCTTTTTCCGAGAACTCTTCGGCATGGTTGATTTCATATGATACGTAAGTGAATTAATTGTGATAATTAACGGTGAGTGATTAGTGGAGAAGACCTTTTTATATATTGCGATGTATATTAAATTTTATACCTTATATAACTTTAAGTAATAGTGTTTTAAATATTAAATTTTCTATTCAGGTACATAAAGATAAGTATTTTAATTTTTTCGTTTCTGTGTTTTTTAAATTTAAGTTTTCTTCTTTCAATTTTTATAATTTAATTTATACCATAAATTATATAAATTCCTGAATCCTTCTAGAAGATATTTTAGATTCTTTTTATAAGTTTATTATTCAAATAAGGTAATTTTGAGATAATTTGCTCTATGAATTATTTGCATGGGGGTATTGCTTGACCATAGAGATAGACCACACCTCCTAGCTCATTGTTGAAATTATCGTGCAGGTAGCCTTTGGAAATCGGCAGCAAATAATCGATAGCTTCGTCCAGGGACAGAATCTGATCTGACCAATGGGCTGTCGGACTAGGAGGGTAAAAGGCGATCCTTATACGCACCCCCTCGAATCCGTTTCCACAGATCAGTATATTGTCTAGGCAGCCCCTGGCTACTTTCGATGAATCGAAAAATGGCGCAAAAATGCTGGACAATCACCATATTCTATTATTCTTTAAATCATTAGAAACTTATTATTTTAATCTATATTATTTTATTTAAAAAAGGGGTGGTCTATAGTGGTCTATAATACTCAATTTCAACTTTAGAATTATTCTAATATAAATAATAATATGTAATAAATAATGCTATCATTATTTCAGATTGGTATCCCCAGAAATATTATATTTTATAAAATCTAAATAATCTTATTAATTTTCTTATTACCTTTTCAATTAAAGAAATATTCATTTATACATAAAATATAATTTTCAATAAAAATAATGTATCACTAATTAGACTTTATAATCATTTCTCCTTATTATAAAGTAAAACGTAGGTAGCACGTCGTTATAAATCACTCTTCACTGAAAATATTTAATACAATTAAACTTTTTAAATAACACTTCACGAAAATGAATTTTATAATCGTCTCTTTTATTAATTTACGTAGTAATATCACGAGAATCGTAGAGATTTTAAAACGGCAGTGTGAACTCTGTGCACGATATACCGAGACTAAAAGAATATCAAGTTCGTCTTCCTGATCGGGCTTGGAACTGCACTGTTGTTTAAAACAACCCTTCGGGCAATCCGGCAGGGGTAAATCCTTGAATCGGGAGTATAAATAGGGGGAAGGGAACTAAAAAAAGAAGGAAGGGTGAACAGTTTTTGGTCCAGGTGCCAGCAGCCGCTAGGGGGTTAAAAAAGAGGGTTAGGAAAAAGGGGGTTCTTTCGTTTTATTTTTTTATACCGAATACTTGGAGCAAACGGAAATTCCAGATGATATAACGACACGACGTTGATGAAATTCTCTGATCCACAGTGTCAAAAATTGTATATCTCCTCAAAAATTAATTTCTTAAAAAATGAAGAATAAAAATTGTCTTATGTATCTACCATTATTCCTAGTCATTTCTAGATTTTCTATAAAAATATGCACTCGCATAAACAATTGTAGTCTAACTAATGTATATAAGACATTTGCAAAAGCATTGTACATTTAATTCATACTTCACAAAGTTTTGCACGGAAAAAAGGAAAAGCACATTTAGCACATTGTCTTATTGTTAACATTATACATTTTCACTTATGTTAATCTAGAAAATTATAAAAAATACAGACGACAATTACTCGCTTGTATTTTCTATAAAATATTTTGAGAATTGTTTTAATTTCGAATATATTGCAGGAGGGGAAATGATTTCTCCACTTTCCAAAAATTCTTATGGATATGATACAAAAGTATTGCACCTTCTGCAGCCCAAGGGCTAGCTATTTAAGACTCTAGAAACCTTTTCCCCAGCGAGTAAAGGAATAATGTCACAGCCACCTATCGGTAACCGTCTTAGTTCCCTAATCCCGCATTCCAAGGACCTTCTCGAAGGCTGCCATTGTGAAAAGGACCCGCGGACCCTCCGCGCCAAGAAGAGGCACCTCCACCAATTCCCAATAGAGAAACATCTACGTTCAAAGTCCAACATCGATTACCGTATACCCTGCCCTTCTAAAAAACTATACGTACTCCAATAACAACAATCTTACACAAAATACAAATATTTTAATATTAAATTACAACTTCGAAAGCAAATAAAATACACGAAAGCGAATATGTAAGAAAGATCTGCACGTACAAATGAATTTAATGATTTAATTATAAGAAGGCGAAAGGAATATCGATATGAAGATACAAATTACGAAACACTCGTTCCTGGGAATTTTAAATTCAATTTGTACTATGTTAATTATTCACTGTGCGATATATACAATGTTTGTTGGATTTTGTTTATAGAATGATTACTTTCCTCGAAGTTTCAGGGAAGCTGATGTTCTTTTAATAGGATCGTGTATTTTTGTGGACGTATTCTTGTGGCTGATGAAAGAATAAATTTATTAATATATGATTTGTGGACCTTCGGATGATTTTGGATATGGAAATGCTGTGTGTAATTGTTTTTGAATTGGAGTAGGGTAGTGCTGTTTTTGAGGGAGATTCTTTGTGCGCTTCGAGCTCTTTCCACCTCGCATTTTTCTTTAGGTTTCCTGATGCAAATGGATTTATGGACTTTGAGTGCATTCGAGGAACAACTCACGGTTCTTGGGATAAGTTTGTGTGAAAGCAAGTATGCGTAGGTGGAAAGAAAGTTTAATTGGTGGAGCAGAGGGTGGTTGCTTTATTTTATAAATGTTGTCGGGGTAGAGGGTTGTTATGAATCCATTTGCGAAACTAACGCTTTTTGAATCGGTAGTGTTGAAGGGTGTGCGATGAGGAGGTGGAACGGAAAGATCAAAGTTCTGTGACTTTGAAAATTTCGGGAATTCTATTGGGGATGGATGTCTTCTGACCTATTTCAAATTTATTTTTGAATTATAATTATCACCGTTTAGGAATTATTCCACAGGGCCCAAAAATTCATATATGGATATGATTACAGAGTATTGCACCTTGCACCCCTAAAACTAACGCCTTTAAGGTTCTTAAAAGCTACTTTAACTGCGAGTAAAGTTCAACCCTAATAGCCATCTATCGGTTGGAACCCCAGTTCTTCAACTACGATCCCGAAGACTTCTTTCTAAAGCGGGTTTTACAAAAGTATAAGAGTATGTTAAGGAACCCTTATAAAAAAATTAGATATATAAAATTCCTAAGTATATTTATAATATGAATGACAATTATAATAACAACGACAATACTGGTAATAATAATAGAAGGAAATGAACAGGAAATGAGTTTATGAACAGAAGCGAAACATTTCTAAATAAATGCTTTCTGAAGAAATACAATGTTCATTTACCAAAACCTGTTCAAATATAACGAAGGCACCGACTGATTAGAATTAATAACATAAATTTAAGAATGTTATTATAAAAAGAAATAATCAAAATCGATCTAGAAGTACAATGAATATTGGTGAAATAGTTTACAACTTAATATGTTTTCAATTAATTTATGGAAAGCTTGCACTGCTACAGCCTCTCCCAAAAATTAAAATATGGATATGATAACCAGAGTATTGCATCTATACTTTACTTTCAAAACGTCCTATAATACCACGTATAGCATATTTCTGTGCGAGAAACGGTTGATCTCAGTAGCCATCTAGCGTTAATAACCGACAATCAACCATGATTACTATAGACTACTCTTTTGTCGTATAGTTCTTTAATCATATTTAAAAAGGTTTTTTAAAAATCATAAGAAACGTACTAGTATATATTATAATTTTGTTAATACAAATATGTACAGAAATGCAGGGCCTAAAATTAACTCATATGATGAAACAATAGGCGTATATTATAAGTTGTTTACAAATACATACTCATAATAAAAAACCTAATAATTTATTTTACATCATATTATTCAAAATAATAATGACAAATTTGCTAAAATATGTATGTATTTATACTGGTCCTAATATATCTACATTTGCTGTTGTATCCTGAACATTACTATGTGCTATCATATACTCTGACACTGATATGTATATACCAACTAATAATCCAATTACACTAGCTATATAAATATTACGTTGAAAAATGATACATGTTGCAACACAAAGACCAAAATAGGTAGCATATCTAGCAACATTTTCCTTTTGTTTACGGCCCAGGATATCAGAATCTAGAACAAAAATACTTATTTCATATCTAAACACTTAATGTAATCATTGTACCTCCTATAAAGAATGTTAGTAAAGTATAAATAAAGTATAAATCTTACTTATACATAAATTATCTCTCTTATAATATCCTTCTGCACATTTTAAACACATGTCTGGACCATCACCTGTGCACCCATTACAAGCTCTATCACAACCTAAATGAAATAGAGAAATTTATTCTTCAATCATCACTGAAACATCATTGTTAGAACTTACTTAAACAGGAATGGCTTCCATCTTTATTAATACAAAACTGATTTCCAGGACAGTATTGTTCACTTTGGATACATTCATCAATATCAAAACATCCTTTATCTTTTACCATGTACCATCCTTTCATACATTTCTTACAATTCTTTGGTCCAGGTCCTTCACAGGGACCATCACAGGCAGCATGACATTGAGAACATAGTAGTTTATTTTCATCTCTATATGATTCATAAAATCCACTAGAACAGTCAGAGCAGTTTTCTCCTTCATATCCTTTGTCACATAAGCATCCACCAATTCCTTTCCTAGTTCCTGCTCCTTGGCATTTGCCATTGTTGCTGCAAATTTTATCTGGATAACCAGGACATGGTACACATTCTGGACCAAAATGATCTTTTGGACAACAGCGTTCTGTCTGTTGAATACATATATAATCATAAATATCAGGATGTGTTTGTTGATGATTAAACCACCATTCTTCTATCTTGCTCTCTAATTCTTCAGCTAAAGCTTGGCATTGAGTTTCACCACGTTCTAATTCTTTACATAAATGTTCTTGTATCTCTATTAATCTAGTTTCACTTTTTGAATATGAACCTAATTTATCTTCCTCCCATGCACTGTCACCACCATCAAATTTTTCACGGCTAGTCCTCTCTATACCCTGTAAGACAGAATTTAAATGTACAAATGAAAATACAGAAAATTTCCCTTTTCATTCAAAACACATAATAAATAATGGACTTACCTTTTTAAAACTATTTGTCAATTGTTTACAAGCTGCACATGGAGGAAATTTGTAAGCTTTAAGTTCTTCACTTGTAGGTGCTTTGTTACATTCCACGTATGCTAATATGTTAAGTAAAATAAAAAAACCTAATAAATGAAAAAAAAGAATGTTAGGTTTGTGCATTATTCTATTTGAATCAGCTACTACTCTACGTTCGGATTACTATAATAGAAAATTGTTTCTTTCGTTTTTAAATTAAGAAAAACATATAGTATTTCAATAATTGAGTTGGAATATTTCACGTAAGGTCATAATTATATGAAATATCTCAATTATATCTCTAAATTATGCGAATAGATAACATCGGGTCTCCGACATTGATAGCAGAACACCATGGGCTAAACAAGTATTTTGTAAATAAGTTTGCGCATGTTTTGAACAGATTAAACATGGTTGAATCAATCTATAGATGATAAATGTTAATTTTTTAAAATAAATCAATAAAATACCTATCTAAAACATCCTTTCCTTTTAAAATAACTTAAAATTTAAGACAATTAAACGTTAAAATGATTCATTGAACAATGTAAGCAACGAAGTAATTTTATAAAAAGGGACGATGTATTATACATTTTTATAAAAAATGTTAGGGATTAGAATAAAATAATACAATTTAATATGTCATAATATCTATTTTTAAATTATTTTTATTAAATTTTCCTGTATATTCTCATAAATGGTATGTGCACATCTATTGCAATACCGTATTTCATGCCGGCAGTAGTGACGTGTCGTCAAGTCGTGTCAAATCCGGAAGGTTAGAAGGAGGGAATGTTTTGTTAGATACAATTCCTTTAGATATTTCATTAAAATATGTTGACAAAATTTGAGACAAAATCTGCCCGAGTGAAAGGGCTATCGTTTCACCCGAAACGTCCCTGGGTTCTTGCAAGGTAAGTATCATTTACTCTCCCATCTCCTCATCAAGTTGTTCAAATGTAGTTTAATAGATTTATACTCTCTTTTACAGTTTACACAATGGAGTTATACAATTATGGGACTACCGTATGTGTACTTTATTAGATAAATTTGATGAACATGATGGACCTGTTCGTGGAATATGTTTCCACAATCAACAGCCATTATTTGCATCTGGTGGTGATGACTACAAAATTAAAGTATGGAACTACAAACAAAGAAGATGCATTTTCACATTACTAGGTCACTTGGATTACATTAGAACAATTGTATTCCATCAAGAATACCCATGGATCTTAAGTGCATCAGATGATCAAACAATCCGCATATGGAACTGGCAGAGCCGTACCTGTATTTGTGTCTTAACAGGACACAATCACTATGTAATGTGTGCACAGTTCCATCCTACAGAAGATATTATAGTATCAGCCTCTTTAGATCAAACAGTAAGAGTATGGGACATTTCTGGCTTAAGAAAGAAAAATGTAGCTCCTGGTCCAGGAGGCTTGGAAGACCATTTAAAGAACCCTGGAGCAACAGATTTATTTGGCCAAGCTGATGCTGTTGTAAAGCATGTTCTTGAAGGTCACGATAGAGGTGTTAACTGGGCATGTTTCCACCCTACATTACCATTAATTGTTTCCGGTGCTGACGACCGTCAAGTCAAAATGTGGAGAATGAATGATGCTAAAGCATGGGAAGTCGACACCTGCCGCGGACATTACAACAATGTTTCTTGCGTCTTGTTCCACCCTAGACAAGATTTAATTCTCTCAAACTCAGAAGACAAGAGTATCCGCGTATGGGACATGTCCAAACGCACTTGCTTGCATACATTTAGAAGAGAGCATGAAAGATTCTGGGTCCTTGCAGCACACCCTACCCTAAATCTCTTTGCTGCTGGACATGACTCTGGAATGATCATCTTCAAACTAGAAAGAGAACGTCCAGCATATGCAGTATATGGAAACGTTCTTTATTACGTGAAGGAGCGTTTCCTTAGAAAATTAGATTTCACTACTTCTAAAGATACATCCGTTATGCAGATACGTGGAGGTGGAAAGACACCTCCGTACAGCATGTCCTATAATCAACCTGAGAATGCTGTCTTAATTTGTACTAGAGCGCCTAATAATATTGAAAACAGCACTTATGATTTGTATATGATACCTCGCGAGGGTAGTTCTAGTACCGATGCTGATACAAAGCGAGCTTCAGGGGTCACTGCCATTTGGGTTGCTAGAAACCGTTTTGCTGTATTAGACAGAGCATATTCAGTATGTATTTGAAACAAATTAGCCCCCTTAAAATTATCCAAAAATAATTAACTATTATTCTCTAATTTTTTGTTGCAGTTGGTGATCAAGAATTTGAAAAATGAAGTTACCAAGAAGGTGCAAATTCCAAATTGCGATGAGATATTTTATGCTGGCACAGGAATGCTTCTTTTACGAGATGCTGATCAAGTAATCCTTTTCGATGTTCAACAGAAGAGAACATTAGCAGAAGTTAAGATCTCTAAATGTAGATACGTTGTTTGGTCCAATGATATGTCTCACGTCGCTTTACTTGCCAAACATACAGTTAATATTTGCAATAGACGATTAGAATCTCTGTGCTCTGTTCATGAGAATACTAGAGTGAAATCAGGAGCCTGGGATGACTCAGGAGTTTTCATTTACACTACTAGTAACCACATAAAATATGCAATTAACAATGGTGATCACGGTATCATTCGTACATTAGATCTTCCGATATACGTAACCAGGGTTAAAGGCAACCAAGTTTACTGTCTAGATAGAGAATGTAGACCAAGGATTCTTAGAATAGATCCTACTGAATATAAATTCAAATTAGCTCTAATTAATAGAAAATACGAGGAAGTTCTGCATATGGTTCGCAATGCAAATCTCGTTGGCCAATCTATAATTGCATATCTACAACAAAAGGGGTACCCTGAAGTTGCTTTGCATTTTGTAAAAGATGAAAAGACAAGATTCGGTCTCGCACTCGAATGTGGCAATATAGAAGTCGCCTTAGAAGCTGCAAGATCCCTTGATCAAAAACCCTGTTGGGAAAGTTTGGCTCAAGCAGCTTTATTGCAAGGAAACCATCAGGTCGTTGAAATGTGTTATCAAAGAACTAAGAATTTCGAAAAATTATCATTCCTTTATCTCATAACTGGTAACTTAGAAAAATTACGCAAGATGATAAAAATAGCAGAGATTAGAAAGGATGTATCTGGACAGTACCAGGGTAGTTTATATCTTGGTGATATCTGTGAACGTGCAAAAATATTACGGGTATGTATCTGTATTACATAAATTAATTTCCAGGAGAATTTTTATTTAATTTTTATTATCTTGTGTTTCAGAGTTCTGGCCAAGCTTCTTTAGCATATGTAACAGAAAAAATTCATAGCATTTCATCTCCAGAGGACGATGTCCTTTACAGTTCCATGAGCGAAGAGCTTTCATCTCTTGAAAAGGGAGCAGAATATCTTCGACCTCCGGTACCCATTCAACAGGCTGAGAATAATTGGCCATTATTAACAGTCTCGAAAGGTTTCTTCGAAGGTGCAATGATGTCACGGGGTAAGAGCCAAGTGGCTGCTGCATTGGCTCCAGAAGACGATAGCTCTGTACCTGCTGAAGGCTGGGGTAATGACGAAGAATTAGGAATAGATGATGAAGAAGGTATCGAGAATGAAAACGTTCCTGAAGGAGAAGAAAGCGCTGGGTGGGATGTTGAGGATGTGGATCTTCCACCTGAGCTTGAAACTACGGCAACTGCAGTGGAAGATGGTTATTATTCACCACCGACAAAAGGAGTGCCATCAACTCAGCACTGGATGAATAATTCCCAATTGCCTGTAGATCATATTCTAGCTGGGTCATTTGAAACTGCATTTAGATTACTGAATGATCAAGTTGGCGTTGTTGAATTTGAAGCTTATCAGAATCTTTTCTTGAATACATTTGCTCGTGCCAGAACATCATTTGCTTCGTTGCCGAATATACCTTCCTTGTATGGATATCCTCAGAGAAACTGGAAAGAAACAAATCCAAAAAGCGGTCTCCCTGCAGTTGGGTTGCATCTTACTGATTTAGTTCAAAGACTTCAAGTATGCTATCATTTGACGACTGGTGGAAAATTCCCAGAGGCAATAGAAAAGCTTCAAGCTATTTTACTCAGTGTACCATTGCTGGTTGTTGATACCAGACAAGATATCGCAGAAGCTCAACAATTAATTCAAATCTGCCGAGAATATATCCTTGGTTTGAAGATGGAAACTGAGAGGAAGAATCTTCCTAAAGCTACTTTGGCTGAGCAAAAACGAATCTGCGAAATGGCAGCTTACTTTACACACTGCAATTTACAACCCATTCATCAAATACTCACGTTAAGGATAGCTGTAAATATGTTCTTCAAGTTGAAGAATTATAAAACTGCTGCTTCCTTTGCAAGAAGGTTACTCGAACTGGGACCTAAACCTGACTTAGCTCAACAAGTTCGAAAAATTTTACAGGTTTGTATCTTTAGTTTAAATTAAATGTTATTGTTCAATGTTTTAAATATATATTTTGATGGTTTTTTCAGGCATGCGATAAAAATCCAGTAGATGAACACCAATTAGCGTATGATGAACACAATCCATTTTCTTTATGTGCAAGCACGTTCGTTCCAATTTACAGAGGAAAACCGGAAGTTAAATGTCCATTATGTGGTGCAACTTATTTGCCACAATTTAAAGATACAGTGTGTAAGATTTGTGAAGTAGCAATAATTGGTAAAGAATGTATTGGTTTGAGGATAAGTCCTGTACAATTCAGATAATTTTTTATGTTTTTTTTTGCATTAATATATCTGACACTACTGATGAATCATAATTATTTCAATCTATATTTCACGATATATTAATATAAGTTCTGCTATTCCTTAAGTATGTCAAGGGTATTATATTTTCAAAAGTATTGTAAATATGAAGCATATGGATATATATCCAGTCTTAAGTATGTTTTTACAATGATTCGTAAAGAAAAAAATATGGATTTTAATATGTTTGTACTGTTATTATTATTTCATATTGAAACAGTACATAGGAATTATATTTTAAAAATATATAATGAAGTTACAAATAAAAACTGTAATTACATTTTATGTACTTTATCTATAAAATCTTTAATTTGTACAACTTATTTTATAGTCATTATGCAGCATTTTTTAATCATGGTATATTTTTAATAACGTTTCTATACATTCAAATAATGTATTTCTTATTTATAATCAATGATAGTATTAAAAAAATGGTTTTCAATTGTAGCATAATTTAAAATAATAAATAGCTGTAGTTTAAATAGTTGCTTAAATTGTTTGACTCAAATATCGTTTATAATATTTAATTTTTAATGAACTTCGTAATCATATTCAAAGCGTCATAAACAGTAATTGAATTATAAATATCGAACAAGCCATCTTAATAAATAAAAATTACTAATATTTTAAGACTTTTAAAGTTGGTAACGTCCGATTCTGTGATGCAAGTCCTATGCAATAATGGGTAAAAAAGTGCAAGAAATATTTCTATAGATTATAAATTTGCTAAAGTGAGATCCTTTTCAACAGAGTAAGATTCTGAATTAAGATTCCTTTTATAAATTTCATGTTGTGATTATCTAGGAATACCTAATTATATAGGGAAGTTTTTTATTACACCATTTTTGGTCAGTTTAATAAACGTTTTCAAAAGGACATAAGATTCAAATTACATTATAAATGTTGCATTAGATGTTTGTAAGATTGCTTTTGCGTCAAATATACCATTGAAACTATTATTTGATTGTTATCGCAATAGTGCATCCTGAATAATATATGTGCATTTAGATCACTGAAGAAGACCGAGTGAGCGCACTAGAAGATGTAAAACCAGTGCCGTAAACATCGTGAACGTAAATATACGGTGTGCGTTCTGTGTATACGTGTTACGTTACAGACGTCTTCTAAATCGTGTAGAATTTTCATGATTCTTATCAAGAAAAATTCGTCTGACTTTACGTTCATATGAATCATTTTGTTAGGACAAGATAATCGGTGAAGTAAATTAGTTAAAGGTAGGTTATAATCGAGACGTACGATATTGACAGTGCTAAGAATACCAAGAATAGTACGTTTATATTGGGTGTGTGAACCTTCAAAGTTATCAAAAGTTATTGAATTATAAATATTGAAGGTAGGAAGATTTGAAAATAAGGGCGCACTATCTCCGAAACCATCGGGCGTCCTACTGCTCTAGGGTAACACAGTGGGTGCATAGCTGCGCGGTATGAAAAAATGATGTGATCGATGGTCATCATGGCGGCACCCATGCTAAAGTGGAAGCGGATCACAAATCCATCCGGGCCCCAGCCAAGACCTAGACATGGACACAGGGCAGTTGCTCTTAAAGACCTTATGGTTGTTTTCGGCGGTGGAAACGAGGGCATTGTTGACGAGCTTCATGTCTATAACACGAGTAAGTTCCTTCCTTGCTGTGCGTCTTTCGCGCCGTTCTTGATGATTCCCGCGATCCAAGATGGCGGCATACACTGACAAAACGGTCACCGGCCGGATCACCGTGAAAATATGAATTTTGTTCATGCCAGATCATTTATTATCATATGTTTCATACAGGTTGAATGTACCTACATTGTAAATGTCTTTTTAACTTTTATTTGTTAAACATTAGGGTAATTTCATAAGGAGAATCAGTTCGATCTGTCATTTTTCATGTTTATACGCACGGGAGCGGCCATTGCTGTCCCTTACGCCCCACCACAATTTGCAACGCGCCGCGTTTCCCGTCATTCCACGTTCACGCTTCACCTTTCCTTTTCTTTTTTCCTTCCGTTCCTATTTTTCTTCCCACTCTTTCATTTTATATTTTCACATCTTTATCATATCACGAATAAGCATAGTATTCTTTTTACTATATTGCTAACACTTGTATGTATGAGTGTTAAGTTAGATGTGTCTTATAAAAATTTTGAATTGAATGTAAGCCTTGTTATATAAAATGTAATAAATATAGTAATATATGCATAAAGTTATTGTTCACAAGAATGTAGGATTATTTTTAATATCTTAATAAATTAAATTACTCAATATCGTATTTAAATTTTTTAGATAGTTAAGATCATTAAATGAGTCCATTTAAAATTAGCACAGCATTTATATTACATAAACATTTCATGTAATGTTATATGTTAAAGAACGTTTTTTTAATTAATAAAATTATCTCTTTTCTTTCCAGCTACTAACCAATGGTTTGTACCATCCACAAAAGGTGACATCCCACCTGGCTGTGCAGCATACGGATTTGTTGTTGATGGAAGCCGTATTTTAGTATTTGGTGGTATGGTAGAATATGGAAAATATTCAGATGAGCTTTATGAACTCCAAGCAGTTAGGTGGGAATGGAAGAAACTGAGACCCAGACCACCAGAAAATGATCCTCCACCGTGTCCAAGATTGGGGCATAGTTTTACTCTCATTGGTAACAGAGTCTTCCTCTTTGGAGGATTGGCCAATGACAGTGAGGATCATAAAAACAATATACCAAGATATTTAAATGATCTATATACCCTTGAACTACTCCCTAATGGAACTACTGCTTGGGATGTACCGCAAACCCATGGGCATGCACCACCACCCAGGGAGTCCCATACCGGGGTGTCTTATTCTGATAGTAAAACAGGAAAAACCTGTTTAGTGATTTATGGTGGTATGAGCGGTTGTCGTTTGGGTGATTTGTGGTATCTCGATGTCGATTCAATGACTTGGAACAAACCAGTGGTTCATGGTCCTATTCCATTACCACGTTCCCTTCATACTGCCACATTAATTGGTCATCGAATGTACGTTTTCGGAGGATGGGTACCGCTCGTTGTTGATGATGTTAAAGTAGCAACACACGAAAAAGAATGGAAGTGCACGAATACGTTGGCTTGCTTAAATATAGGTAAGTTAGTATTACAGTTCAATTATTGCTTTGACTATTAATTAATCTTATTTTAGAAACATGGACGTGGGAACAATTAACCGTCGATACTTTAGAAGAAAATGTTCCTCGTGCTCGCGCAGGTCATTGTGCAATCGGGATGCATAATAAACTCTACGTATGGTCCGGTCGGGATGGATACCGCAAAGCTTGGAACAATCAGGTTAGGGTTAGTCCATACAATTGTTCTTTAATGTAGGAATGGTTTTATTTTTTATAAAGTATGATTTAATCTGTATCCTTAGGTTTGTTGCAAAGATTTGTGGTACCTCGAGGTCGGCAAGCCATCGGCACCATCGAAATTGAACTTAGTTAGGGCAAGTTTGCAAGCGTTAGAAATCCAATGGACACCCGTACCATCGGCGCAATACTACATACTGCAGATTCAGAAGTGTAAACCATCGGCAACAACCGGAACATTTCCCGCGGTCAGCGCACCGGCGAGTACCGCCGTACCAACGACCACGACAGCAATGGTTACACTTGCAACTGATTCTGCCACATCTTCGCCCATCACCACTGCTCCCGAGCTTCCATCAACTCCAACCGTTGTCAAGCCGTCCATACCACAAACTCCCCCAGTACGAGTACAATCGACTGTGCAAAGTCCAGTTCAGAAACCAGTATCATCACAAAGTGTAACAAAACCATCAAGCCCAATGACACCGAGAGTCGCTGGAAATCTGATCAGAATTCGTTCTCCCTTAGTTACAACGACACCTACAACTCCCGAGCAAGCTCCAACTTCTAATACTACAGTGGCAGGTCAAACGCCAGCTGCAATGTCAGGGATCGCTGCCCTTGCGGCAGCAGCCGCTGCTACTCCAAAAATAAGTATGAACAACGTACCAATTCTTCCACAGACCACAGCTAACACGATCAGAATGAAAAACGTTCAACCTGGCCAACAAATACGTTTCGCACCTCCGGGTGCAACGGTATTAAGAACCGCTTCGCCGCAGCAAAGTAAACAGATAATACTACAAAAACCAGGTCAGAACATAGCTGGTCAGCCTCAGATTGTCCATCTTCTTAAAACCGGACAAGGAATGGTAGCGACTGTGCCTAAAGTAAGCCTCATCCCCGGGAAGACCGTTCAAGCAACAGGTGCGAAGCCACTTAATCAAGGACCAACAATACTGAGACTGGTAAATCCTAACACTGTAGCAGGATCCAAGATTCTTACAACCATGAAAACGTCTAGCATCGTGGCAATGAGCAAAGGGCAAAACATCAGCGGAAAGCAGACGATAATGATCACGAAACCCGGAGGCAATGGTGGATTAGTTGGTCGAAACCAAATAATTGTAGTTACAACAGGTTCGGGTTTGAGAGCTGTACAGGCTGTTACCACCTCCCAAGCTGGTACCGGACAAACGGCGAATATTACCACACCCGTGAACGTGTTACCCTTATCAGCAACTAACCACGTAACGAATCAGCAAGGAGTAAAAATGATCGTCGTTTCGTCCGGTGCGATGGGAGGTGGAACCACGGGCAAGCCTATAACTATCACAGTACCAGGCCAGGGCGGTGTGCCAAAAACCGTGACCATCGCCACTAAAGGAAATCCACAGGCCATTTTCAATCCTGGAAAGAGTCAAATCGTCACTATGCCTCAGATACAGAAAACACCAGAAACTGTGACAGTGTCTGGTAAACCTGTAACGTTACAAATGTCTGGTGGAATAGGTGCAAAAACAGTTACTCTCATGCCTACGAGTAGTTCCATAGCGACCACTTCAAGTGTATCAGAGACGATAGACACAAGTAAAATGTTGTTCGTACCATCGCAGAAGCAACCATCGGCTTCATTAGCGTCCACGTCTGATGGTCCTGCCACCACCGATGCGGCATTGGCTGCGTTAGCTGCGGAAGCAGGTTTGATAGATCCGGTACAAGAACCTTCCGGAGACTTATCCTTCATGGTGTCTACGGACGACGGCGGAGCAGGGGATGGCAAAATGGACGATAATTGCAATGGCGATGAAACGAACACTGCGGCAGCTTTGGTTTCCCAAATGGGAGCTGGGGAGTCCATGCAAATCGATAGAGACGGTAATTTCTTAATTCCTCAAGTCGACGGCGCGGCAGATGTTCTCTTATCTGACGACGACGAAGACAATGATAAAATTGATCTGGCGGAGGATCCTGCTTTAGAGAATCAAGAAGAATCGCAGGCTGTAGATTCTGCGAACATGGAGCAAGATCCTGCTGACGCGGCTCCGGAAAGTGTTCATATGGAAGAGTCTTCCATGAAAGAGCCAGAAGTATCCTCGGAAGATGCGACTGAAGTTCCTGTTTCAACCAGCACCGCAGAAGATATTCCGGTCGAGCCGGAACCTTCTGCTGATGCTCAGCCAAATGAAAGTGAAATGCCTGTGGAAGTTGCTAACGAACCGGAACCGTCTAACGAAAGTACCATGCAGGTCATAAATAATGCATCGTCCGAGGAAGTACAAATAAAGGCTGAAATTTCTACCATGCAAGATCCCATAGAAGCTACGTCGGAGGAGGCATCGATGCCGGAAGCAATGGAATTGCCAGAGAACGATGAGAACGAGCAAAGTGAAAGTACGGAGATCAAATTAATGGCTATGGATTCGTACACTGCTGATCATGATAAATCGTCGGCTGCTGAACATTTATCACCCGAGGATAGTATATCGCAGCTTTCTCAGGAAGATAATCAAGATACCGTTGAAAAAGTGAAAGATGAAGTTCCAGAACAACCCATGGAACTCCCTGAAGGTACGTCTCCGATGGAGACGCTGGAAGATAACGACGAACCAATGGTCACAGATTCTTGCTTAACTTCCACCAGTATCAATATTCCAATCACAACTTCTATCATGCAAATAAAGTTAGAACAACCTGACGAGAAAATGAAACAAGATATTAAAATTCCTGAACCAGCTACGTCAACTATCAGCAACGTCGTGCTGCTTGAAAAGGAAATGGATGTTCAGAAACCAGTAGCCCCGGTCAAAATGGAAATAAAAGAAGAGCCTGTTAAAAAGGAACCCTTGAAGCAAGAGAAAATGAATGGTAGTAGAACGGAGAACGGTGATGATTCTACAGCACTGACTACGTTAGCCACAGCTGCCTTGGGATCAGCTGAACAACCAATGAAAATTAAAGCTGAACAGGTAATTTATTAAATCCTTTTGCCTGCTGGTGTGTAATTTATTTTTTTAACATTTTTTTTTTATGTTTATAGAATGAGAAGGAAAAGAAGGAAGAAGAATGGTATGACGTGGGGGTGACACAAGAATCAAGATTTACTGTACAACATTATTATTTACCTGGCGATGAACCATTAGATATAACGCAACCATTGACGATGGATGTTTTTGAGGGAAGAACCAAGGTTGCCTTAGAACAAGGAACTATTTATAAACTAAGAATTGCTGCTGTGAATAGTTGTGGACAAAGTGATTGGAGTGAGGTAAATAAAACAACTATAAATACAGATACAAAAATAAAATGTTGAATTTAATTATATTTTTTTTAAAATTTTTTTTATTTAAAGGTATCTGCGTTTAGAACATATGTTCCGGGATTCCCTGGAGCACCTAGTGCTATAAAAATTAGTAAAACCGCGGACGGTGCTCATATTTCATGGGAACCACCGCCTAACAGAAACGATGGACCGATTTTGGAATATTCAGCATATATTGCAATGTCGAACACTGCATCGAATAATAGTGGAGAACCAAAGACAACTTCGTCAAATTCAAATCTAACATTCACGAAATTCTATTGCGGTACAAACAATTCCTGTTCGGTGTCAAATAGTTCCCTTAGTGCCGCTTATGTTGATACGACTCGAACACCGGCCATAATATTTAGAATAGCAGCACGAAACGTGAAAGGATACGGACCAGCGACGCAAGTTAGGTGGTTGCAACAAGGTTAGTATAGTTTTTCTTTTTTGTCAAAGATAAAATCAGGTATTTTTTTTTTTTATTCAACGGAAAGCTATAAATTGTTAATTTTTGTATCAGCATCTAATGTATCAACAGCAGCAGATCCTACCAATTACATGGAGAATAATCCACAAGTAAAGAGGCGCGGTGTAAATATACGTTTACAAGCAAACTCCCCACAGAAGAAGGTGAAACTAAAGAGACCGAGTAGCTAACTTTTCTTGAGTCTGTTTTCCCTTGACCTCTTACAGCCCAAATATCCAAACAGCGCTATTCGTTATTTAATTTCCGCTGGTACACACGCCTAACAACGACGATGAAAGAAAACAGTATATTCTTGGAGTAAACGACGTGACATGCGAGTAAATGAAAGAAATGAATGCACGATAAAAAAGAACGATGGAAGAGGTGTCCATAGCTACATTGAGGTATAAACATAAGGGTTAAAAAAAAAAGTATTTTAAGTGTTCTATATACGAATACAAGGTCTTTCTATACTGCGTTTTCTGACTCACCGTTATTCTCCTACTCCTTCGCGAATGTGCGACCTTTTTCTGTAAAGATAACACCAGTACTATTAATAAATGGCAAGGTGGTTATTTTGGAGTTAAACAAATTTTTCCACGTTTATAAATATTTTCCATAAATCTCGTGAACATATAGATTACGACAACACTTGCATCATCTGCAACAATTCGTAGTTACATCCAAATATTGACCACCTTTAGTTTTATTTTCTAACATACATATATATGAATTTAATGTAGTTGTAGGTTGGAACAAGATAGTAAAATGGAATTTTTGTTTGAGCTCTGTGAAGCTGCTGGGAAAAAGTTTCTTTTTTTTTTTGAATTGTAAATTCTTGATATAAAATTTTTTATTATTATCAGATATCTGTAAGTACAGATTTTTTAATGCGAATTGGGAGTTGGGAAAACTTCCTGCTACATTTAAATATTTATTGTAAATATTGTAATTGGAAAGGATTTTTTTTTTAATGTTATTAAAATTGTTTTCTTAATTCTGCAATACGATGCAAGTGTATGGAATGAAAATTCTGTTTGTAACATCCGTTTCTGTATAGAACATCGGTGCTATATCTTACTCTGGTTACTTTTGTTACTGCCAATTACAAAGAAGAAAACGTAGATTTGATAAGAGAAAGGAGCACGTATTGTAAAATTCTTTTTTAAAAAAATACGAATTTACCTTCGCAATTTTGTTAATGCTTTCGGTACAAAACGCAGCGATATTTTTTGTAAAAATGGCAAAAATGGTATAAGTTTAGTAGAATTGCACGTGTTGTTTATGAAAAATTACAAGCTTGGTTTCAAAAGCGTTGATGTTTTGGAGAATAAAAAAGAATTTGAAGAAAATTAAGAATATTTTTATATGGCAACGAAATAATTATTTGAATAGTATATCATTATAATATATTATGTCTAATATAACGTTTAATATTTTAAGGTACTAAATCAAGGAATTAGTATAAATGATAAAAAAAAAAAACACAAGAATTTATAGAGAAGTAAAACAATTATACATTAAAGTTTTAATGAAGGATACACGCATCTTAAGTTCTTTTAAGCATAATATATTTTAATTGAAATATTTAAATAATGCTTTTTAAACTGAAGTTGAATGTTGAAGCCAACAAATCATAAACATTTATAAATAGGATTCATGGATTGATATATGATTAGATGGCTTGGGGCTATGTTTGAAACTGCAGTAATTCAAGCGCACATTTTACTTTTAGATTTATCAATACAAACTTTGTGTTATTTGCTTATAGCTTAAGAATTAACATAGCGTTTTAGACACTTAATATGTTATGCTAAAAAATTTATATTAACAATACCCTACAAATTAGAATATTTGAAATATGTTTATATAAAAAGAGTTAGGAAACTATAAGAACTAATAACTTTACATTAAGTTAGTATAATTCACTGCAATCATACTTCTATTATTTTTTTTTTCTTTTATCAATTCGAAATTCGTTTAACGCGTAAGGGACTAACATATTTTTAATGAATATGTATCACTTTAAATGATACCAGATTTTCTTCTGATAGAACACTTGTATGACCAATTGATAAAAAAAAAGTTATTAGTTCATTCATTTTGTTTTGTTGACAAAAAAGATAATACTAAAAACCGTACTACGATATCAGTTTATAAATATCCTACAGATGGAATATTTTCAATTGTATGCATACCTGGTAGGATATTCTGTTCTATTCAAATGTATTGAAATAGTATCCATGATATTTAAATATATATTGAGAGAAGTTATGAATAAATATAGAAAAATTATCTTACATGAAATACTCGTTATTTCACTGTAGTGACTTTTATAACATGAATGTGTACTTACATTGTAGATACCTGCATCTTTAAAAAAAACAACTAACTGTATGCTAAAACTACTAAAAAAAAAATACAAAAAGAGGTATTAAACTTCATTTTATCATACAAGTATGAGTGTCATAATCTGTCTTACTGTATACCTGAAACTTATAAAGACTTTATACGTTATAAATTTTAGGTTCTCAATTTTTCAAATTTTTGTTATCTATATTAATCAACTTAATTCAAGAGAAAATGTTAAAATAATGTACTAAAAAAGTAGATAAAATATCCCATTAATTTTATTGTAACACGAATCTGTAATTCATCTCATTCTTTTTTTCGCGTGCTGCCTTTCTGTTAATTATCTTGGCAGTAACGAAAGCAAGGTATCTTTCTGCAATGTCTTTTGTTATAATAAACAAAAACAGATTAATATCGTTCAAGGTATCCGGATACGAATCACGTCCGTTTGAAAGGAAATTAATAAAAATATTCTTTCAAAGGGACCAGATGGCCTTTATGAAAAAAATCTTAAACGATATTAAATTTTAAGGAACGGACCCGTAACAGCCTGAGAAATGTTACGACGAGAAGGACTTTTTATAAATAAGGAAATATAGTGACAAATAATTATAATATTTTTTTTTCTTAGCACATAAATTATGCTCAAACCAAACGATGGTTTTTTTCCCTTTACGACCACAGTCGATGGCAAACTTTGTCGTACTATTTTAAACGTATGACTAAATGCTGAAGAAGAAAATAAACGGCATCATTAGCACGATTTTACCGTACCCTTTCCGAGTGATTAGATCTTGAAGAAACGATTGCAAGGGAAAGCGAATTGTACGCAGCAGGCAAATCAAACGAAACGATGTCGTGGCAAAATTTTTAAATAAAAATATTTTGTCAACGACAAATAGAAACTTAACGTACTGCACTAAACCTGCGATCGTACTGAATAATATACATTTGTATTTTTCGACGAAATTTCGTAAACTCGACGTTAATAAGTATCACTAATTAGAACTATGTTCTAGCGAGAAAGTTTACGTACAATCAATCCTTTCTGATAAGGTACCATTCTAATCTAATAATTCAAAAAAAAAAGCATCGTACATGTCTTTTGAAAATTTATCAAATTTTATAAATGAACTCATTTTGAGCCCTCGAATAATTCAATTAAATTGACAAAAAAAGAATTAGCGTGCCTAATCGAAATGTGAGTACGTAAAAAAAGACAACAACATTTACAGATTGTAATTTTATACTTCGATATAAATTTATATTAATACTTGTTGATGAAACGATGATCGACAAGTTTAAATGATTCTACTTTTTAAGGATAAAATCGCACCCTTTTTATAGGAATCATCAGTATCGAGGATCAATCGCATCTTATAATATAGGATTCATCAGTGAAATAAAGAGCGAATTAATCGCGTGCGATTTGACGACTATGAGATATTGTTCCTTTCATCGTTAATTTTTATTGCTTGCGTTTATTGGAATATAAATTTCATTGCAGAAGTATTTGGTCATTGAGGTGTTAAGATCGGCTCAGAATAAATGTACAATTCATTTTCGAGCCGGTTAGTGCAGTATACTTCTTGTTACTTTGTATGTGACATGTTGAATGTCATAGGAGGTATAATCGTTTAAACAACACATGATGGTATGAATTGTTGACCTTTTGTCTTATCGATTTTCTGTTATCAATTAAGTACTCTAGTATCAGCTAATTATCATTTAAATGCGAGACAAACGAAGGAAATTGATGTATTGTATGTATACGTTTATGTAAATTTTTAATTTTGCAAATGGCATTTGAAATTTTAATTAAAAAATTAGAATATAATTTGAGGCACGAGGTAAAAGGTTGAGGGTATTAGGGATTAATTTTTATTATTTTTTTTTTATTTTTTAATTCAGTAAATAAAATTCATTGTACCAGTGACCTCCATGGCAATCAATGTGTTATTCGTCATCGATCATTTTAATCTATCGATAAGTGGGCATCGCTTTCACCTAGCTGTAGAATGTTAATTAATCTATTAACCAAGGATAACGAGTTAACTCGTGAAAATCCTCCTCGGTTAACAGGCTAAATTATATTAATTAATGTACGTTAATTAACACTTTGACTGCCGTACATTTCATAGAATCTATGATTCTCGCAATTTTCCATTCCCTTTTGTATTCAACGAATCATTATTGATAGAATTTTTATTTTTAAATTGTAATTAGCGTTTGATAGAGTGGATAAAATAATGGCGTTAAAGTCAAAGTGTTAATATAAGTTAGTTAATCATAAAGCATAGAAGAATTGCCTGTTGAAAAAGCGCGCAACTTCGTCAAAATTACGAGAATAACGGAGAGCGAACGAACCGAAGGCACACGAGTTTTCTGTGAACACCGTGTGCCGGATATGCATTTTTCCTGCATATCGTGATCGTGACAAAGAACAAATACGAGTAAAAATACCTTCAAACGTACCGAGAAAGAACGATTCCCTGGAATCATCTTGCATTCGTTCACCATATCGACTGTGAAAATGATGATGAAGCTAATTGTGTACGCGAGAATTGACGTTTACGTTGTTTCTTAACACTTTACCTACCGGATGTCACTTAAGAAGCTTCTTAATGCCACCAGTTGTTGACTGAAACCTGTGATTATTATTAATTTATCCATAACTCATTATCGATTAAAATAATGAAAGTTAAATGTACAATAATTAAGAAGAAATTGAAAGTAAAGATTACTCCTTTAATTTATAACTAATATTAAATTATAATCGGTAGGTAATGTGTTAATACATATTACAAATGAATCTATATACAGGGTGCTCGTCTAGGAATGGGCACACTTTGAGGGGGTGGTAGCTGAAATGATTCTAAACAATTTTTCTATTTACCAAAATGTTCATTAAGGCATAGTTTTTAAATTATTAATAAAAAACACCAATTAGTCAATGCGTACATAGTGCGCATGCGCAGGAGTGTTGGCTGCAAACCAACATGGCGCGAGGCCCAGTTTGTTTGCAACTACGATCGAGCGCGGTTCTCGTAGCCAACACTCCCGCGACTGAGCCTGCGCATTACATGCGCTCTGATTTGTCGGTGTTTTTCGTTAGTAATTTAAAAACGAAGCTGTAACGAGTGCTTTAGTGACGGAAGAAGTTATCCCAGCTGAATCATCCCAGCTGCCACCTTAGGATATGTCCATCCCTAGCTGAACACGCTGTGCAGAGAAAAGGTATTTCCAAGATTTTGTTTCTCTTTTGTTGAAATATTCATCTCGCATGAATAAATCGTGAGATTACCGACTTTTTCATGAACGATTCTCGTAAAGAGAACCCACGCGTTTCCGGCGAATATTTTTCACGAGAAGTGCAACGTTTCTACGTAATCTCGATGTTACTGCCACGTGTTTCGTTGCACGTGATCTAAATCAGCACGAAAAGTGCTTCGTACGGTATTTTCGTCGAATACCTAACGAGAAAAATGAACAAATTTATCGTCGACAATTATGCTGTTTCGAAAGGGTGCTGTACGAGTATCGTCATATTGAGAACCATTTTATAGAATCACCTGTTTGCGCGGGAAACTCGTGCGAACGTTGCTCAAACTCAATCAAATTAAATCAAACGTAATGAAATCCGTGCATTATGTTTGTTATAAGTGCTAACGTATTTATAATTCATAAATGAAACTAGTAGTGATACACATCGGGAATGATCTTTTAGATGTTATCTCTTCGTCGATTTTATTTCGAAGCAGCACGATCGTCGATCCCTTTTAGACTAAATAATAATAAGGAAAGAAAGGTGAAATGTAGTGGAACGCGTCCCGTGTGTACATGTATGTATGTAAATACGTACGAGTGTGCGGACTTCTATCATACGACGTTTGCAACAATAGATTATTTTTCCACGTCTAGCTCAAAATGTTTCGGACCTTCGAACGAACATCCGCGAGGCTAGATTTAGGACGTAAAAGAGGGAGATAAGTGAGTGATCGACATTCGTGACCATATGTTTCGCATAACGACGACACACATCATATACAGGGTATTCCATGTCATTGGGCCGAGCTATAACTCTAAAGCGGTAGACTCCGTTAGTCAGAATCAAAATGGCGTCGCGGTGTCACGTGACACAGTGAATACGTATCAGACGCCAGTAGTTGCATTTTTTTTATTAAGTAACTCCACTTCCGAAATGGAATTGGTCTGATTTTTTTTCTATCTTCTATCATTTTAGAATTATAATTTAACTCACTTACATGGAACACCCTCTATACACATACATATTCAGGTGCCGAATGGAATGTCCGGAGAGCACATATTACATTTATCATATATTTTATTTTTCGTTCACGCGTACAGGCAAAGTCACTGAGAACTTGAGAGAAACGATGGGACGGTAACGATTGCCTAAAAAATTCATTTAAAAAAATGAAGATATATACAATTAACGCGTGATCAGATAATAAAAGAGAATCACCACTGGACTGATTCTAATTCAATTAGAATGAAAGAGTTTGAATAATCTTATTTGAATTTTAAAGCTGTACACATCACATAGAACGTTTGTATATCCGGGAAATGATGGTACTTGAAAGAGATGCTATTTTCAATCGAGTACTTTTGCGAAAAAAACGAAATGTGTCAAGTTAATTGTACTGGAGAGAATGATGTATGATAAGAAAAAAAAATATGTCTGACAGATTTTACTTTTCACATGACTTGCATGCTTGTACGGTCTTCTTCTTACGTTGTTATTACATACGACGATGAAATTAGTTGAAAATAGTTTCGCCCGTTTCTTGAACAAGTATATCTTTCAGTGAATCGTGTATACGATGAATTTGAACGTCGAGAATCCTCTAAGTGCAAAATGTTTCTTGGCGTTTCAGTTCATTACGTGGATCGCGCTATTTTTCACTCTATTCAACTATAGATTCTCTTCAATGGTAGGGTTAACTAAACATATATTATATGTAACAAAGAGAAACAGAATAAATGTATGTAAACTTATTAAAAGTTTATTCGTACGCAATTGGTCCCCTCGCAACTGGACTTCTTAACCCAGGGGTGGGCGATTGTTTTGGCTCGGGGGCCATTTTGTGGAAGCGGAGGTTAGCGGAGGGCCGCATCTTTTTGGAGCGAAGCTCTGCTATTGAATGACTGATAGGGATTTTTTTGTGATTTTTTAACTCAAAAACTATCGTGCGAATTTTGAATTCGTGTTCTGCCCACCCCTGTCTTAACCCATTAATACCCAAAATTGCATAGCGGGCATTTAGCATTGACAATCGAGCGGGTGGCAACGAATGTGTTACCTATCTTGAAAATACAATCTCTGGAAATTATTGGGTTAATTTCACGATCTCCTTTATTCAATAAAGGCATGATTTTTATTCATTTAATTCTGATTTTTAAAACATGTATCCTTCGAATGTTCAAATAAAACCCGTGGAAAAAATGTCTGCAATATAGAAGATTATATTATCACGCCTGCAAATGACGCTTATTTTTAGCTGATTAATTACCGAAGATATTTTATATTTGTACGTACGTCTTCTGCCAGGCTATAACAACAGAACTTGCATCGCGAACGAATCTTCGTATCAGATACAGTGGGTGACAAAATTATTCGCTCATCATTTAAAACAGAATATCACATTCAAAATTGGACCAAATGACTTGAGGCTTTTTAAGAAGCTATAAAAATTAATTTACTAAGATATGTGCATGTGTCGTTTTAAAAAATTCTAATTTGTCGAAATCGGGGAAAAAATAGTAAAAAGCAATTTTTTAACTTTTCGATTTGAACCTGTACTAAAAATTTACAAATGTCATATTTTAAATTTTCGTTACAGGCTCAGATAAAAAAGTTACAAAATTACTCTTCACTATTTTTTTTTACGATTTCGACAAACTGTAATTTTTAAAAACGACAGAAGCACATATCTTAATAAATTAATTTTTATAGCTTCTCAAAAAGCCTCAAACCATTTGGTCCAATTTTAAATGAGGTATTCTGTTTTAAACGGTGAGTGAATAATTTTATGACCCACTGTACATCGTAGGGTAAGGTCGTAAACATAAAATTCATAAGCATAAGGTAAAAGAGCATTATTCTGTAGAAGTGGTATCTCTTCCCATACACTTGATAGCCTACTAGCTTGTCATTAATGAATATGTGTGCATGCGTTCCTATCATCTATCTACATGTAGTATATACATATGTATCTTAATGTATGTATGTGTGTGATTGCTGTGGTTAGTCGTCACCAGTCGTCACTATTACTTATTCCAGCACCATGAGCATACCGCATTGATTTAAAATTATTTTAACACCGATTTTATTATTATTAATGGGTAAATGAAATCTTTTAATGTGTTTCAAGAATTGCGTTACATCGTGATATAATGCGACTTAGTATTTCTTGCGATTAACTGATGTCAATACCGGCAGTGTATACCAGAATACGCCCACACACGTTAAGTGCATTTTGTAAAGAAAAATCTCGTGACAATTACACCGAAGAAATCTGTATACGTATCAGAGGGAGGTTAAAAAAGTGCCACTTTTGTTAGAAATTATTTTACCTTAATTTTACGTTACGCGATGCACTGTGACAGATGATTAAATTGTTTACTTATTTATCGAATAGAACAAGAGTGACACTCGGTGTTAATTGATTTTTCATACGCGTGTTAATTAACGATACACATGCGTGTCTATTAAACAGGGTGCAATAAGTAAGGAATGGGAATTGACAGTATGAGAGTCGGAGGAGGCCGATGTCCTCCCCTCCTAGTCGGAGGACTTCTTGTCGCTTGTTTAATGCTCATTTGCAACTGGTGGACTCTATCTTCTGAAAATATTGAATTAGTTAGACAAATTGATGAATTAAATGAACAACTTAAAATAAGGTACCGATATACTTACTCTTATAATAAATGCCATATCAGTTCTAATGAATTTACAATTTACAAATATTTATATAAAAATTGTTTAGTGCCGAAGAAAGAGATCAATGCGTTACTTTACGTGGGAATTTAGAGCAAAGATTTAAGCATGCAGAGGGTGAAGTGGCTTCTCTGCATGTACGCTTAGAACAGCAAGCATATTTAAAGAAAAAGAACGATGAATTGGAATACTCTAATAATATTTGTAAAGGTGAATTGGATTCTTTAAACAAGTTAGATGCTACTAAAACTGCGACATTAGAAACTTTAAGACTGGAGAAGGATACTTTTAATACAAAGTTAGATGCAAAAAGGGAGGAGAACAAAAAATTGCAGGAAGAAGTAGAGCAGGTATTAAATTAACATTTGGGTTTTATAAGCTGATTATACATTTTACTTACTAAAACTTTTTATAGTTGAAGAATGATCTTAAATTTAAATGCAATATAACTCTCCCAAGGAAAAGTACAATCACTCCTCTGGGTAAGTTAAAACACTTTTTTAAATTAAGTTTCTTTATATTTTTATACATCTAGAATTATATTAAGCTAGATTGAAAAGAAAGAGTTGAAAATGTTAAACAATATCCTGTTTGTTTAAATTATTTATTTTGATACTGCCTTTACAAATCAATGAGGATAACTTTGAATTATTTAAATTGTAGCAGCTTTTTAAATAATAATTTTGCGAATAATTCTAACATGTTTGGGGTACCAATAGATGATAGTAATGCAACTTCCATTTTCTTTCATTTCTGTATACTACCAATTGATTTAGTATTATATGATATTCTGGCGGTTTGCCAATTTAGCTACAAGACCAGTAATTAACAAGTCTCAGTTGGGTCCTGTTCCGGAGTCAGCTGTAAGAATAAGCTTAGCTGGTCAGCGTGGTTTGAAATACCATGGAATTCCAATTCTTCCAACAGATCCGCCCGGCGCTGTGCGCCTAAGTCCTCGCTTCTCAGTTACAATGTTGAAAGGTAGTGATACTTTTCTCCTATCGCAGGAGAAAAGAATATTGCCACACAAATAAAGCAGCACTAAACAATTCTGTACATAAAGTCATTATATATTTATGCATCTATTGTTAGATTTGTAACATGGAACAGTTGAACTGCTTATTAAATATACTGCATTATTTGATCAATATAGAAAAATGATTTACTAATATCAATGAATAAAATATTGGTAAGGGAATCTAAAATGAAGGAACATTGTAATACAAATACTGACTCCTTATTTAATGTAAATTTGCATTCATGATCAAATGAATCAGGGGTTAAAATAGATTATAGATATTTGTCAGTAGTATAAATTGATTACTAATTGGTGAAGGCTGTACTAATTTCAGGACTACATAAGTGTTATTTAACCGTGGTTAATTTGTACACTGATCTGAAATTAAAACCTTTCAGAAACATATTTACTGTTTTATTTTAGAGTAGTAATTTAGTTTACATGACTTTCAGCTCAAACAAGTCCAAAAATTTCAAAAAATAATACTTCCAACGAAGACACAGCACCAGTCAATCCAGAATTTGAATAAGTCGATCAAAATGGTACTTACATACGCTAATTTAAGAATCTATGTTCACTATAATTTTATTTTTATTTATCAATGTATATAATTCATTTTAAGAATGTCTATTAACATAAACATAATTTTATTCTGCTTATGTTTATTTAGGAAGCAATAAACAAGAGAATACAGGATTGACAGATGCCAATGTAATAGAAAGCAGAAGAGATCAACGAATGAAAGCACAAGTCAGTGGAGACTGATAATAAATAAGTATAAAAATATCTCTACAGTAATTAATAAATACGTGTCAAACATTTATTAAATATAATAGAGTTATAATGTTTCTTAAAGCAACAAATATTTTGAATGCTTTACATTTTACACAATGCACTTTTATTTATAAATAGTAACAGAAAAATTTATTCTCAACAGTTTAAAAACTTTTATCTGTTTAATATCGTAAATTTATCATTTTTTATAGTTTGATTAAATCTAATAAAAATGATTTTAAATTTTACGTAATATCAATAAATCGTGTTATTATATAGATTATATAATTGTTATGAATAAGGCAAATAATCGTATTTACTTAAAATGAATGGTTTTTATTCTTCTATTTTGTATTCACTCTAAGAATAAACACGAATCTTTTTTGTATAGTAAATAATATATCATGAATCTATCCTTAAATAAACATAATCGTTGATACGATGTCTTAGTCAAAGTATGAAATTGTAAATACATAAGTCTAATAGAGACTAATATTACAAAACGGTATAATTGTATTTCAAATCATATATTTCGAATACGTTTGCAATTTATATTTGGTTATTTCCAATTATACCTTACATTTTATATGAATTTATTCCAATCATATGAAATTTATTGCTCAATACTGAAACGAGCATGTATATTATGTTTTTATTACATTGTATTGTCACTGTCAAATGTGTTTTTATTTTATAGCTTTAGTTTTATATTAATATATTAAATCTCATCACATTTCTATTTCTTTTTTCTATAGTTTGGAAATATATATGTTACATCGAGTTTAAAAATATAAAATAAAATCGTATGATGTGCTATCAACAAAGCACCTACAGTCATTTTCACATTTAAACACATTTCACATAATACATATACAAGCTCTGCATCATTACATATTCGATGATTACATATAATTCGTTTATATTTATTAATACTTTTTACTGCATAGGTACAAAGCTAACTTGATATATTATGCAAATTATTATCATTGTTTATAACAATACTTTATAGTTACTCTAAAAAATAAAATAGTCTTGATTGTTATGTTCGCTAATGATGGATTAAATGTTAATTATCAAAATTTCTCAGTAGTAAACTATTTATAAAACGTTATAACAATTATATTACTAACATGTGTAAATATTTTCTAAGATATGATAAACATAAACGATTTTATTAAAGCGTGTTTAATCAAAATTTCATAACTGCATCTGTAAACTGTAAATCATTTCTATGTGTAACAAAATGCAAAGTTTGACTAGGAAACATTAAGTAACGACTAGACGTTTAAAACTTACGTTTAACCAGTTTTTTGTTTTATACGATGACTACTTGCCATTATAGATTTCTTTTAATATCTGGCAATTATTTAAATTATCATTCTATTACGTAATTTATCTATAACCGTATATATATATATGTATTTTTTCTACCCTAAAAACGAAATCACGTATTCAGAAGCTGCGCGTTAAAAAATACATAGTTACAAATTTTACGAAACAACGAATATTAAAAATCGTAAAAATATATTCTATCAGTAGTACGTTATATTATAATTTTTAAAATTCGATTTTCTTTAGGAGCCATTTTAAAAATACAAGATTAAATAAAAGTATTATTTGTTTCATTATTAAACATCAAAATATATTTCTTTCTTTTGATTGCAAAATGTTTGCAAAATATTTTGTTTATACTCTTTACTTTGTGCGATTTTCAAATATGTAACATTTGTAAACTTTACAAATTATCGTAACTTCCATATATTTTGTAATAATTCACTTCTGATATCTGCAAAAATGAAATTAGCATAAATAAATTTCAATTATCAACTTGACATCATTAATTAGGACGATATAACAATTAGTATCATAACGCTTTCCATCTCACAATTGCAAACTCGTCTGCATTTATAAATTCTTCGCTTAATACTTTGTTAAATATTAAAATATTAAACATTAAATTCTTTGGTCATGTAAGATAATAATTGTAACTGAGTAATTAAAAGTTTAATTATGTCTAGATGAAGATATAGGATGTTAATTTAAACAAAATATAAATAAACTACTCCTATGAGAATTAGGCAACCGATTCTAATTTTTAAATACTCTACACGGTAAAATATACTATAAATAATGTCAACAGCCTTTTTAATAAATAATGATGGAGAGAATATATTTGGAGATAATGAAAATACTATACTGTCATATTAAATATTAGTTCTCTTAAAATCGTGGTTTTTCTTTCTGATAAAAATGATGAATTGTAGTCTACATTTTATGTATCCATTGCTATGCTCAAAGTATAATGGGGTTAAAGATAAGGCAGTGAGATGTTAGTGAATTAGTCCCTAAAGAGGAGGACTACTATAAAGTATTAAAAAAATCACCGAAAAATTGTTTTTCGTTGTAATCTATAAAACTTCAAACTATTTATGCTGCCATGTTATATCAATGAAAAATTATGCTATCAAAAAAAAAAAAATATTTTTAAAATGGCTACATTTAAGGAGAATAGTGATGGTTGTTCACGTGTCTTTGCTTTCTTCTAAAAATAAACGCGAAAATCGAACGAAGTCGCCACCAACGACTATGTTTACGTACTGAATTTCGTGATCTCTCTTTAGCTCGAATTTGTCTAACTAATGAGTAAAATGCATCATCTATGAATTGTCTAAGTGCAGCGGATGTTTCATAAAAAGGGCAACCAAGCTGTTCAGCAAGTGCCTTTCCCTCTTCTGTGGTTACCTACAGTATAATGATCACATGAGCAAAAGTGAAAGAGTTCTAATTGCTTAAATAACTAACATTTTACCTTTCTTTGATGTTGCAGATCAAATTTGTTGCCAACTAATACCAGTGGTATATCTTCATTAGCTCTTACTCTTGTTATTAATTTCCTATACTCCAGAGCTTCCTGAAAGCTGTGCCTATCAGTTACAGAGTAACATATCATAAACCCCTCTCCACATCTCATATATTGGTCACGCATAGCTGTGAATTCCACCTGTATATAAAAGATACAATGCATACATTAAACAGTTTTTAATTTTTGCAGAATTTTGTCTTGCAGTAATTGATCCTGACCTGCCCAGCAGTATCCAATATGTCTAAAAGTGCAGCCTCACCATCTATAACTGCTTGTTGTTGATACGAATCCTCTGTCAATAACAAAGAACATTAAATATATTACCCTGAAAGCTAAGAAATACTAAGAAAAGAAATGTTTTCAAACATTGAAATACACTGTATGAAACAAACTCCTTACCTATAGTTGGATCATGGTAATCAAGGAAGCTATGACTGACAAACTGTAGAGTGACAGCTAAAAAAATACATTTCACAATGTGTATTATGTACATGTAACTCAACAGATTTCTTAGATGTACAATAAAAATTGCATTACCTGATTTACCAACACCACCATCGCCCAAAACAACAATCTTATAAACCCTTAGTCCACTCCTGATGGTGGGCTGCGAGACGACCGGTACGTCATTCTTGCCGTTCAAGGCCACGCTCTTATCCTGCAGGATGTCAGCTGACATCGTTGGAAAATTACTAACTATTGGTAATTTAATGCTTGCTTCGGTTACGGGGCACTCGCACTTTTACAAACTGACTGACATACTTGGTCACGTATTGGAACACGCGCGTAGACACACCCGTATCAGTTGTTAGATCGGAAAAGATACGGTACATGTTTGATCACGATTGCAGGCCGTTGTTTTTTGCAATAGCTCGGAACCACACCGAGGGATACTTAATTGTTCGAATTTATACTTTTTACAGTTATATACAGCATGGCTGATGAGCATAGGCTAACAAGGAGACTTGACAGAACGTGACAGCCGCCAAGATTAAGCAGGCGCGCGATCATGTAGTGAGGGGCGTATTTTTTTATTTTATTGTTCGTTTACAAACTATAATGTAATTCGAGGTTTCTTCGTAGATCATTGATGCTATTTGTTGAAAATAATAATTAGAAGAACTTTAATGTGAAATAATTATACATTAATCTTCTGATAACAGTGATAGCGCAGAATTAAGAACTAGTAATTTATTACATTTACGAGTATTATTTGGCTGACAAAGAATGTCTTACGAGTTCTAATAAGTTGAAAAAGTCAAGTATAAGGAAAATATTCAAGATTTAGTTTCGTTGATTCCGGTGACCGACTGGTAGATGGCAATATCGTTTCGATATAGTATGACATCTATAGGATAGCAGGATAAAATGATATTGGAATCGATCATATTTTTTTATGTAAGTAGATTCAATCCTTTTCCGAATTTCTATTATTGTGCGTTCAATACAGAAATCTGCTAGAAAAGCTTTACTGACAGGTTCAATAATCATCTTAGGACAAAATGTTCTCTGTTGATATTTCAAAAAGACCGCCATGATCACGGCACCCTATAGTTCCGGTAGACCACCATCAAATAAACAACTTCCGATTCCGTTGGTATATCAGTTCGCAGGGAGATGGTGCTATGGTATTATTTCGAAGTGCACGTTATTGTAAAAGAAAGAAGTATGTAAATATAATGCACAGGTAATATTCTCAGCTTATTACATTACTTATTTTGCAATACAACGGTAAAAATTCAGTAATTATATTGTTTTGGAATTGAACGAAAAAGAAAAATTTCTTCAGAACATTATGGTGTATATCTTGAGAAATCTACCACTACTAATAATTAAATATTAATTTTAATATTTATTTTTAAAAGATTATACTTCATATTCTGTAAATTTAATTTATATTCCGCGCCACTGTTCGAAAATCAATCGTACTTGCATTAGTTTTCGTTGGAGGTTAGTGGCGCAGTAGTCGGCCATAGTGGCTGCGCAGTATGATATGCGCGATCACAGACAGACTTCGCGCAGTTCGTGGTTGCGCGACCAGCTAAGCGGACAAGCTTTTACCGTCACTCGGTCCCGTAAGGGTTTCAGTGACGTTTCTGCTAGCGTAGACGATAGGTCGGAAAGAAGATACATAGTATCCATCACGCACATTCCAGTGTTACAGCAGTTGACATAATTCAAAATGTTCACGGGACTAACGAATCAGATGTCTACATGGATGGGAAAGAAAGGCGAAGAAGGCAATACGGAAATGCCGGCAGAAGAAAAAATTACTCCGGTTACTGAACCAGGCGATGTCGATGCAGAGAAAAAAGACAGGTTAGTGTCACTTTAATAATCTACACAATCACTTGAACATTGCAACTCGTTTGACATAAGTGTTTTACTTATCGTCATGGGAGAGGGTAATCTTGTTTGTGATACGCCAACAGTATCTTATATGCGTTGTACAGAATGCACTACGTTTCAACATTTCTTGTTTGTTACCTAGAAGCGATTGTTTTAATTGGAAACAATTGGTTTTACGTACTTACGTTCAAACGACGGACAAATTCACGGCGATTTTACGCATCTGCGCGATACGTTGAAAATTTTAAATTCAATCTTGAATGCATTTTTGAGATTAGATCGATAACAGACGTCCCTGTTCTTACGTAAAGTACTACTTATACGACACCGTTACAACCTTTCATAAATTGAAATCAGGTTAACGTGCATCCGAAGTAATGGTGCACCTAACCTTTTTGTGCATTGTTTTCACGATTGTCAGTTAGCGTGACAGTTGGCAGATAAAGCTTTATCTATGCTTATCAAGATTATACATATACACAATAAGAACATTAATGACTAATGCAGTGTATATTATTGTCCTTTCAATTAATCGATTAGTTATTTACAAATTTTTATTATAATTCAAAATATGATTGCAATACGAAGAAATATACAAAATACGATTGCAATATATTTAACATTTTAGTTCTGTTAAATATTGCAAGCGTCTAAACGCTACCTCACGTTCCTAGCTCTCGTGGATTCCCCTAGTCACGAGTCAGACATTTCGTATTTTCCGCTTCGAAGACGCGAGACGTACGCCAGCTTATACTAGCGTTATCGGGAAGGCTCTGCACGAAATACGACATTTATACGGCCATTCTCGAAAAGTTACGTCACACGTAATGGATTTCGGAAATAGGATTTCCAGAGAACGCCATCGCGATATGCAGAATACTGTCGCGAATTTATAGATACGTGCTCGAACTCCCCTTGAACGTCTCTCCCTAGCCATCGAAATTAATGTAGCGTTAAACTGAACTCTTTGAAAGACTATAAATTGCTGTACAAATATATAATCATTCAAATCCAGTTTACCCCATTATTCCAAGCGAAGGGGTATTCTTAAGTTTTAGTCTTCTGATGTTGCTGAAATAATTCATAAAAAAGCGGTCACCTTTTCTTCCCTAGGGATATTTAATTTTTATTTGTCTCTTTTTTCTCTCAACTTGAACGTTCTTCTATGTATCATAAAAGACTTGGAAGTTTTCTTTTTCGTTTCAAAGAGAACGGTGATTTAACTCCCGTTCATTTAATTCCCTTTATTCTCGGTATTTTTATATTTATACGAGTGACGGTAGGGAAGCGTGGCCACACAGGCGTACCAACCTTACACGTTACTGGAGTCGGAATAGCTTTTATCGACTAGGAGGCGATTGTTTTACTTTCATTCAGAATACTGTCGTTGTTTTATTTTTAGTAATTAAATTAAATTCCTGGCGTTAGTCAACGCGTTAATTCTCGCGGTTTACCCTCTACAAAGGAAACGGAGGAATGGAAAAAAAAGAGGGATGCAAAATGCTCGAGGGGTGCTTTACCCTTCGCGTTACCGAAACAATTTCCACTAGTATGCCCGTGAGTAAAGGTGGCGCATAATTTAGTAATTCTCGGGTCAACTGCCTAGCTTGTTCTATTTGGATGCTTATCGGGAGATCCCAAGGAATAAATATTTCACTGCACATTGAACGAACATTGATTTCTTTTCCAAAGTAAAATTAGCTGACTTGGGAAGAGCATTTATTTATTTAAATTAATCAGGTATTTTTAACGATACTGTTTCTCGATTTTACATGTATTTGCATATTCCTCAATTATACCAATATTTGACATGACCTGTAAATTTATTCGTATTGTAATTAATATTAAAATCTAATGAACTGAATGAAAATCAGTGCAATGTACTTGACTCGGAATATTAAATACTTCAGATGCCTGGAAGGCACATTTGGAATGCAAGAGGTTAATGCACTTTATGTTAAATACGCGTGCATTAGCGTTTCTGATATGCTTTAAATGTTAAAATTTCAATTAACCGAGAACAATGCGTTCGTTTCGGTATGAAATCATAATTGAATTTTTATCAAGCCATAGATGTAAGAAATAAAAAATTATTACAATATTTAGAAGCATGGAAAAATTGATGTAATTTGAAACGTCTATAAAAACTGGAAAGTATGCTCGTTTATATAGGTTGCAATCAATAGCATCGCGTTTACCCACTCCCTGTACTGTTAATTCGTATAATTGTAATGGAAGCCTGTGGTGGTTCGAACGCTTACCAAAGCACGAGCAGATTCCATAAAATTTTAAGTATCACACAATAGATGGTGTTTCCACGTTTCCTGGTAATCTTCATTAGAGGAACAATAAATTACTAACAAACGGGCTACCGTTCGAAGCGAGTAATTCGAATAATTGTGGCTGTTTGATGCAAATCTAATACCGGTTATTAACGAAGTATCATTGTTGTATGTTATAGGTTAAGTCCTGTATCAGGAATCACATAATTCACTATTCACGTGTAATGGCAGGTATTACAAAAGTAGAGAATCGAATCATAGTTTATTTATAGGGAAAAATATGAAATATTAAAAATCGAAGGGCAGGGCTGGCCCTGGGCTTAGGCAGAGTAGGCGACCGCCTAGGGCCCCCCAAGGTCCAGGGCCCCCATAAGACGATTTTGCATTTAAGAATGCAAGAGTAATGTTTACTTGAATATTAATTTTATAAATTTTATTCGAGGTACTTTTTTGTATATGAAGGGGCCCTTTTTGGGAGCTCGCCTCGGACCCCTGAAATCTCAGGGCCGGCCCAGTCGAAACGAAATCTTTCACAATTCTAAAGGGGGCGAGGACCCATTTTTAATTAACCACGCTTCTAACCTCGGTAAATCATTTACAAAGCCATGCTGCTATTAAACGAGTTATACTTGAAAACAATGTTTCGTCCTCCCTCGTCTCGGTTACGTTGACCTGTTTTTGTTCCTAACATATTTATAGCGAATAGGTAGGAGTTGGTAGCACACTTCAGAGGACATTCTCCGATGGCTCGTTTCGCTCGAACGTTAGGTAACGATCGCAATAAAAAAAGCCGAGCAAATAATCCAGATGAAATATACGCTTTTGGTGGCCCAGTTGTACAAACCAGGGAATTTTTACTTCCCTTCACCGTGCTATATATACGATTGCTTAACGCATTGATCGCCACCGTGAAAACGACCCATATCCAGTTATGGCATATACGGCTTGATTATTATTGCCATCATCGACGTTATTACTTTAACACTAGAACTACCGACGTTTAATGCACACTAATTTTTAAGTTGAAAATAATACAGAAAATTAAATAATCACGGGATGAAACATAATTTCTTTATCTCGACAATAGCAAAAATACATTGATAAAATTTATAATTTAAAATATGAAACTGGAAACCAGTCATTTTTACCCCTTTGGTAGTTCTAGTGTTAATTTGATTATACAATTGAAATATAAAATATACTAGTAATTTGAAGCCTTGATAATTTTAATAACAGGCGTGGTTATTAATTAAAGGATGTGAGGGTAAGCAGATAATCTTTCGATCCGAACCGAACTGGTAATCCGCGGTACCAGCGCATCCTTAGTATTCGGTTTAGCAATCAGCAATATTCGGTTAATATTTCAATGATATCGAATTATAAGTCGAGCTGGATTGGAAACCGGATCTTTCGTCTTCCAGGCCATTGCTCTAAGAGCGTATTGCTTAATGCGAGGATCATTGGCAAATAACGCTTTAGATTTTGTATAATTGAATAATTAGCAAAAGCTAACGAATATTTTTTCCCCGTTCACGATCGTGGAAATTCATAGCGTTTCCCGTTAATTAAATGGTGGTTTATTCTTTTTGTTGCAGCCCTACCAAAGGTAGTAGCAAATTGGAAATGTTGGCCGGTGTAAAGTCTCAAATGACGGGCTGGTTTAGCGGTGGAATACCGGGATTAAGCCGTGGCGGTGCACATGGAAATGAAGGCGAGTCCCAACCGCCGGCGAATGG